TATATATATATAATTTTTTTAAAATATATATATTAATATATATTAAATTTGTTTCCATGTTTTATATTTTAAGTAAAAATGAATTCTTATATAAATCTTATATATAGTCTACAAATATAATCTAAATATAATTATATAAAAACCTCTTTAAAAAATTTTATAACATTTTATATATATAATATTTATGAAAAAAAAATATATATATAAATTATTACACATATTTTATAATAAATATTATAAATATTATTTTAAAATAAAATCTGAAATATTTCGTATGCATTTCTTACTACTATTGTAATATGTTACATAACAATGTAAAATGGATTATCACGCTAGAGCTAACGTCCAATTGGTTTTATACATAAGCAACAAATAAATAAATAATGAATTAAATAAATTATAACCTGCTCACCTCGATTGTTCCGCCGTTGCTCGATTCCTTTCCTTGTCTCTTGTTCATCTTTTGTTGCTCCTCTACGGCACTCACTCGCGAAATAGTTAATTACGATTGCGCGTATACTAATTAACAGAATAGAACAATCGGCACTTTAGACGGCACTCTCGACGTTTAATCACATACGACGCGTACCTTATTCTATTGCAACGGGAAAATTATGCGAAAATTAGAGTCACACAAACTATGATTCACACTCGGTACGTATAACCTGTAAAATACAAAAAATCCAAATTACAAACCAATGTCTGAAATAACAAATATGTTTTAAATGAATCATTATTGCGCGTCATAAAATTTAAAAAAAAATAATGAGAAAATTATATACTTATAAATGGGCGAAAAACGTGAAAGAAACATACTCGACTCTATATATAATAATAAGTATATTTAAAAAAATTAAAGTATATTTAATTAAAGTATATTTAATTAAAGTATATTTAATTTATATTAAGTATATTTATAATAGTAAAGTATATTTATACAAAAAATCAACGATAAATATCGTAATAATTAATAATTTTCAATCTCGATTCTAATTTTAAAGTAATATGCATTTCGATAAATACATGTTTTTAAGAGTTGTGTGAGGAATTAATCAACCGCACGAATTAATTATTTCTAATAGTAATGACATCGCAGAAAGAGTTTATTATCTCGCGATGCCGAATATAAACAAGAATGAAATGATTCACTGTGTTACACTGAAAACATCCAAGGTGATTAGAGTGTACACAATGTATATAAAACGTCACACATAATAAAATCGGTTTTATATTAACATAATATTTACAATATATCGAGATCTTTTACAAGGTCTTACTATGTATGTATGCATATTACATACTTATACATATGTTATTATTTTGTCACAAGGATAGTAAATGCGAATAAAAATACCGCGACAATAATATATAGCACGTACATAAATTATATATTTAAATTAATAACATAATATTCAAAATAATTAATGTTTCAAAAAATAAATATTACACATATATATTTTTAATTTGCATCATTTAAATTAATTAATATTTAACAAAAGAATAATATTCAATAAAAATAGGAATAATATTCAATAAAAAAATATATGTATAACTTTCGAAAAGAAAATCTTTTCTCTTGAATATGAAAAAATTCCCTCTTTTTTTATTATAATAAAGAGAATTTAATAAATAAAAAATCTATAATTTAAATAATAATTTAAATCTCATAAGCACATATGTTGAGATATTTTAAAATATGCTATGCGCGGCAATAAACAATTAATTCTGTTAATAATATATAAAAAGTAATTGTTATTATAAATTATAAATTACTTGACTTTATAGTACTCTTCATTTGATACTTCCAGAATCTCTTTCTCTTGTTTCTCTGTCTCTCTCTCTTTCTTTTCTTTCCGTTGTTGCTCTTTCATGGCATTAGCATAATATTCAGCAATTATTGACGAAAAAATTATATAATATAAAACGAATAAAACTGCAAATGCAGCACAGCCTAAAGAATAGCTAAGAAGAGAGAAAAAATATAACCTCGTCTTTTTCAAATGAAGGAAAGTAGGGCAATTAAGTAAACTTTGAGATTGCAAACGTAAAACACAAATACGAAAAAAAGAAAGAAGAATTACTGAATATTAGGCACATACTAGATATATGTGTTTTCTTTCCTCTTTACTTTTTTTATATTAAAGCAAGAAACCTCCTCGGTCTACTAGATCTACTATATTTAGCAAAATCACGGTTAATTAAGAGTTAATCGTTAATTAAGTTAATCGTTCGTGTACTAATAATCACAATACGATAATCGCGCGACTTCATGGCACTCTCCATATTAATCACGAACACTTTATTATATCGTGACGAAAAAAAAAAATAATACAAATGCCCGAAGTTATGATTGTTTAACGGTTGCGTCACTTTGCAAATTAACGCATCAAATAAATCACAAATAAAGTGGGCGCCGGAGGAGGGGATTTTGCGTGGAAATATGTGGCCAACTTTATGCGACATTTGACGATACCTGTTGCTTTTAGCCGCACTTTTTTATACATTACGCATTTTGAATAATAAAAAATATAGGCTCATGATTATTTCATATTATTACATATATTCTGCCCTTTATCTTGTAAACTTCTTAAAAGATATATTATTGATAATAAATATTTTATTACATATAAATTATTTATTTTTTTTTAAATTATATAAGCTCTTATAAAAATTTTACATTTAACAAACATTTAAAAAATTATTAAACCTAATCAATTAATTTATTTAAAAAATGGAATTATTTTGATAGAAAAAAATATTTGTCATTTATATTAAAAAATTTATATTAAAAAAATATTTGTATTTATATTAATTTTTCCCAAATATATCATATTTTCTCCAGGAACTTTTACAGCTCGAGAGAAATAAATTATACAATTTTAGTAAATTAATAAAAAAAATTAGATCATTGCACAAGATGTAACGAAAGGGAAACTGTGTATTATCTAATTGCAAGTGTAACTTTGAAATGCATTAGCTATAACTGTATAGCAAAAGACATAATATAAAGCGTTTTATAGTTAATTAATTCATATTGAGGTCTTACCTTTGTTATGACGATATGATAACGCCTTGTTCACAAGAACCTATTATTGTCACAAGTTCAGAGAGCACGTGGCACGCCCGAGCTTGTCGAAAACGAACTCTCCCATTTGTGGCATAAGCTATTATCGGACCAATTTCCGAGGATGCATTGCAAAGCGACTATGAGAAAGGAATGACATGTTTCCCACATACGCAAATACACGTATAATTGTGTAGTTAAATGCAAGAGCTGTAACGATACTGCCTGACATGAACCGGTTAATGCAATTGCCATCCTACTGGGAACATGTAGCCTGAATATTCTCGAGCAAAGTTGAAATAGGTTTCCTTGTTGAATGAAAAAATTATACTTATTACACGCTTAAAATTTCAGACAACGTATCGAGAAAGAGAAAAGATTTAGCAGAAATATTTTTTTGTAAATATAGACAGAAGTTATACAGAGTTTACCAAAAGTGTGGAAACCCTTTAATATTTCGAAAAATACGCATTTAAAAAAAATGTTTCATACTAAAGTTATAGGGTTTTATGTGGCGCATTACACAGCAACATTATTATGACCTTGAATAGCGTTGTCAAAGTTATGTGAAGATCAGCTTCAATTTTTTATATGGAACCCTCTATTTTTTATTACATTATCTTGCAGCTTATCTTGAGAGCTTTTCAAAACACTATAATAAATTATTTTTCCATGAAGTATTTTTCGAGTTATGAGGCTTGAAATAATTTTTTAATTTTACATAAACTATGAAATATCTAGTAAAATATTCATTTTTCGAATATCTTACCTTAATACTTTTATATACAAAATAACTTTATATACAAAATAATGAGAGGAATCAATTGGTGTAAAGAAAACACATAGTTGTTTCTAAGAAAAAATATGCAATTAACAATTCCATATTTTTTCTTAGAAACAACTATGTGTTTTCTTTACACCAATTGATTCCTCTCATTATTATGTACATAAAAGTATTAAGGTAAGATAATCGAAAAATGAATATTTTACAAGATATTTTATGGTTTATGTAAAATTAAGAAATGATTTCAAGCCTCATAACTCGAAAAATACTTCATGGAAAAATAATTTATTATAGTGTTTTGAAAAGCTTTCAAGATAAGCTGCAAGATAATATAATAAAAAATATAGGGTTCCATTTAAAAAATTGAAGCTGGCCTTCACATAATCTTGACAACGCTATTCGAGGTCATAATAATGTTGCTGTGTAATGCGCCACATAAAACCCTATAACTTTTGTATGAAACATTTTTTTTAAATGCGTATTTTTCGAAATATTAAGGGGTTTCCACACTTCTGGTAAACCCTGTATAAGAGAACTGTATCTGAAAACTGAAGATTGTGTCTGAGTTATAATCCTTTCGATTCTCAGTAGCACAATAATGCTTGAAGTTTCTACGCTATCGACTATAATTCCGCGGTTTCACAACTTCGAGTTTAGAATTGAATCACGTATTAATCTCCTTGAAACTCGGACTATTCGCAGAATATCGGTATCTTTGTACATTGCACGCTATACAGTATATTTCAAAGCATTATTCGCTTCATCAGATATGCCGATTTATTTGGTTTCCGATTATGACTGAGGCTGCTGCGCCTCTTCCTTCGATTATGCTTTGAAACACAAAATATAGCATTTATCAGTGATCAATAATAATGTTGTACATTTCCTTTATACACACACTGAAATTACTGTACACTCTATGTACAGGACGAACGTTATGTCCTTGATAACGCAACATGTAATATCGGATATTGATATATGTAAATTACATTTCGCAAACGTTGCATAACAAATAAGCACAAAATATGTGCACAAAATAATAAATGTATGTAAAAATAAAATTTCAATTTTATTCCTTATAAAATAAATGTCCAAGTGTTATAAATATATTTTTTTACCTTTAATTCAAAAAAAAAATATATAACCCTGTGTTTCATTTTTTTTAATTTTACATAAACTTCATTTTATTCTGATATACCGTGTGTGTTTGCATTTCAAACTTGATGAACTGATTTATTTAACATCTTTGATGAAGAAAGGACAACATAAAAAGTTCCAATAAAATGAAGTGATTAAAATAAGGCACAGGATTATATAATTTAATTTATTCTTAATCGTACATGAAAAAATTAGCATATCGATGATAAAATGTACAGAGCTCTGTATATTTATAATTTATATTTCTATTTGTATATAACTTATATATTGCAGAACACTCAGAACGTGCGCATGCACTAAGACTCGGATAAAATATCCTCCAAGGTTTTGTCGTCGTGGAGAGGCGAGTGTCCCAATGTGGGATCGCTTTCTAGAAATTCACGCAGTTCAGACTCAAGATCAGTCACACCGGATGGCTCCGTCGCACTCAATAGAGACGGTGGTGTCTGGCTGCTGTGTGTCATACCCATTTGCATTTGGATCGATGGCGGTGGCGGCTGATTCGCGCCTACAATACTCATATTCTGATTCTGCTGGCCAGTCGGACTTAATAGATTCGTATTCTGAATCGGAGAGGTCGGCAGCAGGTTCGACAGCACTTGATTATTTCCGTTATTCGCATTGGGCGGTAGTAACGAAGTATCGGCGACTATAGTAGGATTATGCGTGATCGGTTCGACTTCCATGGGCTCTGGTCCGCCCAACGGTGCTATGCCCATCGCCCTACGAAGACCGTCGACTGGTGCAATACCTGAGGGTGGCAGTTTCTTCGCTATGTCGGTCAGATTGTCAGTGATCTTTTCGGCCAACATCACTTCGGCTTCTCCCGCTTTAGAGACATTGGACAGATGTGCCGGTGGTGGTGCTGATAAACGTTCGTGCTGGACCTGTTTTAATCGGTTTAGCATCTGCGATGTATCATCCAGACGACTCTGTAGAACGGCGCGTTCTTCGCTGTATTTAAAGTCCTCCTCTGCAAATAGGAAACCATGTAAATAATGCGAAAGAGAAACGCCGCATCGAAGTTTTAAATTATTTTGACGGCTTGCTAAATAATTAAATAGTTCTATTCTAATAAAATTTATGCAGACATTAATATAAACATATGTTCAAACTAAGATGTTTTAGAAAATAGAATTTATATAAATAGAATTTATTTATATATGTTCAAACTAAGATGTTTTAGAAAATAGAATTTATATAAATTATATTATATTTATATAAATATATAAATATAATATAATTTATATAAATATAATTAATATAAATAATATTTATATTAATTATATAAATATAATTAATATAAATAACATATATAAATTATTGCAAATTAATGAAAAAAGTTAGATCGTTTATTTTTATCGATATATAATCTCACATATAATTACCTAAAGTGTCTAAGAAGTTTATATCGATACCGAATTCCGTGAGTGTCTTTAATTGCTCGATATCAACTTTGACCTTATCCATCGTCGAGATGTTACGATTCATGTCCTGTATAGGCTTCTCCAGTATATTCTTGATTTTCTCTTCTTCTTCTCTCAACTTTCGTTTTTCCTCGATGAATTTTTTCGTCTTTCGATGATCGCCACCTGTGAGAATGTCCAAGAGATCGTCAACCATGGTCAATGTGTAGTCGCAATCCTTGGCAAAGTCGAGAATCGACTCGGCATACTGCACAGCCGTTTCATCGCCGTAGGTCTGATAGACCAAGTCCGTTTCTTCCTTGGTGAGATTAGAGAACGTTGAATCGTAGCTTGGTGCGTACGAACCGAACGCTCCATAATACAACGGTTTCACCGGCTTCGACATATTCCTACGATCCTCCCGAAATCCGGCCAGTGCTCCTGTACCGTGGTTCAACTTGCCTATCAGCTGACCTAGCGACACAGGTCTTTGATTGGTTCCAGGAATGATTCCGTCCCCGGGTACGATAATCTGCAGACTGGTGGTGCCGTCTTTCTTTTGTCGCAGAAAACCCATCTTAGAGTTTGCTCTCTTCAGACTGAGTTTTTCCATCGCCGTTTTGGCTGCCCCTCTCGCTTGCTTGAGTATCTCCTCGGGCGTCAAGTCGTCCGGTATCGCCTCGAATTTACCTAAACTAGCCAGTCTCATTTTTCTCTGATTTTCCTTCCTGAGCTCCTCTGCCTCTTCATTGCGTTCCTCCTGTTCACGTTCTCGCTCGATCTGCTCCTCCGTCACAGGAGCGTCCAAATTGTTGGGGTCCTCGACGCCCAATTCGAATCCGAGCTCCTCTTTCGTTATATCGTTCATGTACATCAATACTGGCCTGAGCTGCCGCAGTTTTTCAGGAGTGACCATTTTCAAACCGACGTGCAACAGTTTTTTCGCTGCCTTGTAATAGATAGTATCAGAGTGATTATAAGTCATGGCGTTGTCGCACATGAGCTTGAAGTCATCTACGAATTCTTGTAGATTTTGATAATTGTTATCGTCTATCTTTTGTTTTATCGTGCTGAAATCCATGGGATTTGTGATTATTTGAGAATAACCGGGCGCAATGCTGTCCGTAACCGGCCAAGCGAAAAATTGTTGTGGGTCTCGCTTTTCCATCGACCTCAACAAATGTTCCAATAATCTCTGGAGAGGAGTGCGCTCTGCTATTTTTCTGAGAACGCATGTTCTGGGTTCACGATGCGGTGATAGAGAGCTTATACTACTAACGCCTACCCTTAATTCACCGCTTGGCGGTGGCCTGAGTGGTAACAACTGATTGTGATTAGTACAAGTCTTTTTAGGTATTGGTTCGGCCAAATTTTCGTCGGCGTCACCGACCGATTCCTGACTCGACTCTTCCCTTCGCCTCTTCTTGTCCTTATGATGATGTTTATGCCGTTTATCTTTCTTTTTCTTCTTTTTTTTGAGTTTCTTGTGGCCGACGTATCTGTCATATTCCGTGTCTCCTTGACTGACAGAGTAGTTGAGGCCCAATTGTTGTTGGTAATGTTGCGACAGCATCGTAGCCTGACTCGGTGACTCGCTACCGTGTTCAGGCGTTCCAGTACTGCCTCCTACTTTCAAGATTAACTTCAAGCTAGGCGGCTTGTCCGTCGTTGTGTACTGACCCTCTGTTAAAAATGAAGAAGAAATACAGTCAGTATTGCATTCAACATAAACTTTTTAAAGCAGCGTAAATCTTTGTTCTATAAAAGCTATACACATGATCTGCTGTGTGACGCATGCAGCAATCTTGCAGGAAATCTTGCGGAAAATTATGCAGGATAAGAGCATAATATAGCAACACAAGAAACAAGAAACGTCAAGAGATGTTGCAATGTGTAACATGTGAAGGTATTGAAAAGAAAAGTGCAAATTGTAAATAATTATAAAATCTACGGGACATTAAAAGACAAATGGATGGGAAGCAATGTCGACGATAATGTAAAGATGACTTTATTAACAGGATAGTGACCTTGTTTTCACATTCAACAAACTGGAAGCGAGATGGAAGTAGCTCGAAAATCAAATAAATCTTAATAATAGAAATGTACACTATAAAATAATATTTCCATTGTTACTTTAAATCGACTGAATAATCGACGGGAATAATCAGGGAGAGCAATCATCAAAATTGAAAATACCTCCCTAAGAGGTGAAGCGAAGCATATGTGGCTCTCAATGCCACGATACATAACAGCCATAGGATTTATACGATTGAAGTGCAACAGGTTTGTCTATGTGTAACTGTATCTTGTGCCCTATACATAATATTCTGTTGTAACAATTCTTGTATAAATCTTGTTGCACTTCAATGGATTTAACGAATAAAAAAAAATAAGAAAAAAAAAAGTAAAAGGGTTTGGGGCAATTGATAATTTTAGAAGCACAGCTAGCTTCTGTCGTGCAACCAGTCCATGTCCGTTGTTATTCGTCACTTACTTCTACGTCACGCCTGTTGCTGTAGAACGCTTCGTTTATACTTTCGTATCCACCTCACTTTTACTCCAACCTCACTCTCAGTTTGTCCTTGGTGAAAACGTAGTCAAAATTCCTGTGCATCATTAAACTATGAGTACGAGAAGGATTCCAATGAAAATTTAAAGAGTGTAAACTGCACCCAGGTAGAACATGAAACTCGTAATGACATCATTATGACGTTACCATGATTTTACTTATCGCTTAAAAGTCACCTAGGTGACTTTTAGGTGATAAATAAAAAAGTCACCTAAGTGACTTTTAAGTGATAAATAAAAAAGTCATCTAGGTGACTTTTAAGTGATAAATAAAATCATGATAACGTCATAATGATATCATTATGAGTTTCATGTTCTACCTAGGTATCGAGTACCAATAAAGTCTTAGCTCTTTAGCGGTCTCTTTTTCATTCGAATCCTTTTTATGATAGACATATAAGTACAGAGTTCGATTTGTGGTGCGATGTAATGATGCTTCAGTAACACATATCCTTACAAATCTAATCTACATCTAATTCTCTATCTTTCTCTCTCTCTCTCTCTCTCTCTCTCTCTCTCTCTCTCTCTCTCTCTCTCTCTCTTGCTCGAAGATTATACTTTTCGGAGTAAATTTCTTCATTGACAAGGAAGTCATTCTACCAGAAGACGATATCCCACTGTTGTTTATCATTCATTCTATTGACGGAGACAGGACAATCAATGACAATTTCCTCCGACGAGAAACGACAGATGGAGTAAACAATAGAAGAAGAGGAAAATTCGAAACGACGTTCTCGGAAAATAGTGGAAAACTGTCACAGATCGGGGATCCTGAGTACGATCGGAGAGAAATCCCGCGTGTCTTCATCTTTTCCTCACCTTCGTGTCTCTCGCGCTTATGCTTTTTGTGTTTCTTCGAGCCCATATTTCGCGCGTTCGACGACAGCCTCGTCCGAAAAACAATAATCGGCGTCTCTCAGCGTTACCTCCTCGCAACAGCCGCTGCGTACACAGACAACACAGGAGCCGCCATTGATGACGTCACGTTCGTCCGTCCGCGGTCCACCGTTCCGACTGTCAACGTGAAACACCGCCGCGTGAACTGTCAACTGTCATGGCGCGTCGTACGCGCGAATTCGAATGCCACTGTTCGCGTCATTCCGGCAATAGTACCCCAGATAGAACATGAAACTTATGATAACATTATTATGACGTGATTTTATTTATCATTTAAAAGTTATCTAAACAAAAATGATTAAAATATAATAAATTAAAATATAAAAGTTATCTAAACAAAAATGATTAAAAAATAAATTAAAAATGACAAAAAGAATCATAAATTTTTAAGTTCAATAATCGCATTATATAATTTTAAAAAGATTATGTTGCTTAAATATAATTAAAATATACATGAATAATTAAATAAACAAGTAATTGCGTAATATATATAATATATATATAATATATATATATATATAAAATGATATTAATAAGTCACCAAAACATTGCCAAAAGTATATCAAATGAGATCATTATGATTTTTCTAAAAACTTTTAGGTGACTTTTAGATCATAATGATGTCATTATGAGTTTCACGCTCTACCTGGGATTCGAATTATCATCAAGGATTCCATTGTTTTCATTGGTTGAATTATTAACGAACTGCGAACGATATTTACGAAGCGCACTGTAAAAAATAAATAAATAAATGGGTCTTCTGATCTCAATATGATATTTCGGTGAGTTAATCCAGCAAACACCAAGTAACATTGATATAATTGTTAGTTGTAATTTCCCAGGCAGAAGATGAAACTCGTAATAACATCATTATGACGTTATCATAATTTTATTTATCACTTAAAAGTTATTTAAACAAAAATGATTAAAAAATGAGTTAAAGATGACAAAAAGAATCATAAATTTTTAATTTCAATAATCGCATTATATAATTTTAAAAAGATTATGTTGCTTAAATATAATTAAAATATACATAAATAATTAAATAAACAAATAATTGCGTACTATATATAAAAAAATGATATTAATAAGTCATCAAAACATTGCCAAAAGTATATCAAATGAGATCATTATGATTTTTCTAAAAACTTTTAGGTGACTTTTAGTGACGTCATAATGATGTCATTATGAGTTTTATATTCTACCTGCGTTCCCACTCGACAATATAACTGTTACGTGTTATATAACTGTTACATAACAGTTATATTGTTGAGTTGGAAATTATAACTACATAAAAAAAAATAAGTGTGAAATCAAAACTTATATACTTAAACTAACGCGTTCATTGTTTCGTATATACGCAACAATTGATAATCTTCTTAGAAGAATTTAATAATGTTAAATTTCAACAATATTATAGTCTTATTTTAATATTGTAATTGTCACCTCAAAAATATATAATTATTTAATGTAATATAATTATTTATAAATTATTTATAAATAATATTTTTTAATCAAAGATTATAATTTTCTTAAAGTACAATTAAATAATTATAAATAAATATAATTATTTAATTGTACTTTAAGAAAATTATAATCTTTGATTAAAAAATATTATTTTCTATCTAACATTGTTTCTTTTCCATTCAAGAAAATTAAATCTTAAATCATAAGAAAATATTTTTCTTGATTGAATTATATAAAATGGCTTCATTCAAGTAAGCAATTATATTTTTCTTTAATTAACGCAATATAATCTCATTTCCTAACCTAACCTCATTTCAAGATTTCAAACTAAATATATTTGTGTTAAAACTAAATATATTTTCAAAACAAGAATGTCCTTTTTCTCTGTGTAACAGTTATATAAGTGTTATTTGGTGTTTGCTGGCAAGTTTTATCAGTGAATCATAGATGATAAAATCTGAAAATATATTTTCGGGGTTTTCGCGGAATTTTATGCCGACGAGATTTTCACCTCGATCGCTCGACGACCGGGGATACTTAACGTCGAAAATTTGAGGACCGCGAGAGAGGATACACCGATCCGGCTGGCTTTCTACGGGAAAAGAGGCGATTTCGCGTTTCGAACATGGCGGCCATTGCGCGTCCGTGCGGACGTTCGCGGACCGAGAGCTTCGCGGACGAAGGAAACCCTCCCTAACCTATAAAAATGCGTCGCTTACCGGCACCCGTTACCGTCGATCGCACGGGACGATACTCACCTGCGCCGATCGCGGCTCCCGGATGTCAAATCCCGCTTAACGATCTCGGAGCGACTCACCTCGCACGATGACGGCTCCCGACGACGCGATTAAAGGGACGGCGATCAGCTGTTTCTCGCTCGAAACGCCGAGAGATAGACAGACGGAGGAAGAGAGAGACGGAGGAGGAGAGACGGAGAGAACGGGGAACGCGTTCCTGCGGGTTGAAACTCGGGGAAAAAAATACCTCGCTCTCTCGTGCCATACCCGATACGAGACGTCAGCCTCCGAGTCTCGCCGACTGATTTGTACCCTTCCGCGAAATCGCCACGCGAGATGATAAATCGAATGTAACGCGATAGAAATAAGCGGAATAACGATTTTACACGAGATAAATTTTCGGAGTATTTTATTTCCATACAGGTAGAATTTAATTTAAAGCATCAAGAAAAATAAAACAGTTGGAATTTTTTACATCGAATACTTTCCACGAAGTATTCTTTCTTCAAATAGAATAAATAATTATTAATGTGTATATATGATAATTATTTATTATATATGTGAATATAATAATTATTCATGATATGTGATAAAGCTGCGATTGTAAGGTTAAAAAAAGACATCCTTGAAATACGTCGAGGAATACTGTGCTGGAAATACTATTCGAGTGTCTTGTTTCTGTTTTTTCAGAGAATGGCTTATATAATTGATGACGCTTTTACGCGAACGTGATACGAATATTCGCGGCGGTTTCAGAGGAAAAAAAAATATGGTTCGTCGGAAGTTCGTATCTTTTCGTAAGAATATTATATTCCGCGCATTTTTTTTTTCTTTTTTTGCGAGACGCAATATAATCGCACACCCGGTAGAGTCGAGTAGTCGTGAAAAATGACGATAAACATCATTATATTATTATATCATCTTTAATGAAGCATAAATTACGAGATTGCTAGGTACGGTACTGAATAATGGGTGGTTGAGGGCCCGCGAGAGGGCGAGCCGATACTGCGGAGGTGCAAGAAAATATATCGAGTACACCATCGAGGACAATTCCGGCGCCAATTCAATGCCCACTCCATCCTCTTTAATCAGTCTAGTTTTTTCCCTCCCACCCCGCTTTCATCTCATCCTTTTGTTTACGTTCTTACAATTAGCCTCGCTCGTTCATTATATTATCCTTTGTTCCTCTCGTTCTTTGTTCAGTCATCTTTTCCACCGTGTGTCCCTCTCCGAGGGAATTTTACCTTCACTAATATTATTATAATCATTTGTAAGGATAAGAGAAATTTTTTCTGTCTCTTTCTAATATTTTTAATTTCTAATATTTAATTTCTAATATTTCACATAATTAATTTTTTTCCCTTCCCTACTTATCTGCTGTCCCTTATCTCCCCTCTCCCCGTCATCATTTTCTTTATCGCTCCTTATGGAGTCATATTTCCCTCTCTCTCTCTCTTCGTCGTTATTTTCCACCCTTATCCCTGTCTCGCTCTTGGTTTCCTCCGCACGACGTTCATCACTGTCAGTAGATACATACATGTCAGCATACCAGACAGATTCTCGCTTTTCGATACCACCCGTCGCTCCCCCCCTCTCCGTCTCTCTCGCTCGCGCGTCCCTCCTTCTCCAGTCAGTGCCCTTACCCCCACTCCTCGCCTCATGTGTAACGATAACACCGGGCCGCGGCGTCGCGTCGCGTCGCGCACAGTAATGCTCCGTAATTTCACATCGGCGAATGGGGGACGCGCACGCGAGTGACAGCGCGCGAACGTGCCGATTCGTTCGTATCCCGAGTGCCATTCGATTGGGCATTCGTATCGATTGATCGTTTCGGCGTTCCCGAGATCCGTCAGCGTTGGATCTGCCCTCCGGATCCGGGAGACGACGAGAAGTGACACTCGGAGCAGCAGGAGAAGAGAAGAATGGAGCGGTTTCGAGTGACGCCGGCGAACAACGCCACGCGATACATGCAGCCGGTACGCGACTGTGGTGAGTGTTTTTTTTTTCTACTCGCAACTGGTGCCAACCTATGGTTGGCAAGATGAGGGAGTAAGCGTTTCGCCGAGCTCGGATTCGTTGTGATGGATATTCTCGATAATTATAACACTTCGTTCGATATCATCTTCGGCACGTTAGTTCCTTTTTAACCAAGGAAGGTTTCTAGTATATTAAATTATTTATTATCGTTATTATTTATTATGTAATTATATATTATTATTATTTAGTCTATTGATAAAAGGCGGAAAAATAATGTCGTTTCGTTTGTTTTCTCGCGTCCAGAAATACACACACACTCACACATACATATATACACATGTACAATCGCATGTACATATCGCGTCGAGAAACCCCACGTGCGCTCTCCCTGTGGAAGACGCCGGACGCGTGGGTCTGTCGCGTGCGCGCGCGCGCGCGCATTTTTATTTTTATCGCCGATCACATCTCGTGCATGAGTCGCCGATAACGCGGCCCACCATGTTGCGCTATCCGCGTGCTCTCCTGCCGTTCGCGGCTGACTTCACGTTGCTCTCGGCGCATGGCTGTCGCGGGTCAAAACCCTTCGTTTCTGCCGTGTCTGGAAAAAGGGGCATGGAATCAGATACGACACTTTTGAAGGAAAAACGATAGCTTTCGAATAACCAAATACACTCCTGGACAAAATAAACGCATAATTTTTTTTTCACTTTTTTGTTTAAATTTAAATATCAGTTTTTAAGATGTTTTGTATGTACAATCCCAGCAAAAAGTAGCTAAAAATCAATATTGACGAATGTATCCACTTTTGGTGTATTTTGAGTAAAAAATTGTGTGGAATATTAGAATTTGATCTTAGCTACAGTGCAGAGATGTGTTTTTTAATATTTATTGCGTTTTTACTGAAATATTCCGAATTTTGTTAATCGAAATGATTAACTTTTGGCAGAGAATTTCGCCTTGTGACAGATACATGGCTAACTTTATTCAAT